AATTAGGGTACTCCTAAGGCTTAGGAAGAGCCACACTCAAGGGGCATGTGACTCTCGAACCAGTTAACAGAGGAGGCTGACCCCACTCTGGCCTACTTTATAGAGACAATGGTGAAGGAAATCTTCCCAGAGGGCCAAACGTCAGATGGCACATCTGGTCGTCCACCTCGTGCGGGAGGATGCAATGTGCATCTACTCTGATTTATGGGCAGTGGTGACGGGGACTTGGAAAGAACAGTGCTGGAGAACTGGCCATCAGGCCACTGGAAAGACAATGTGGATGTACCTCTTGAGATGGGCAAAGATTTTGACTATAAATGACCTTTGACGACAGTAGTTTCACACAAGGTGTTTTGGGTGAGAGACAAAGTTCTTATTGAATACTTCACAGTAGATAATAAGTGGATTAGTGTCCTTTACGCTAGTCCCTAGTCCACGGTAACACATGTGAGCTAAAGGGAAATGTTCCTGCATGGATGGTCAAACACCCGCATTGGAGAGTGTTGGGGAAAAATAATTTTTCTCTGTATATAAAGGGGGGAAAGGCAGCTGTCTTTCTTACCTACCTCCATACTTCGGTATGTAAATAAAAGCTCCCCAGGATCCAAATAGAACCACTGATCTCGCCACCTCTCAGCTTTTACTTTTTGGAGACCCACTGATAACTTAGAACCTCTTCCTTCTGGGAAGGGCAGTTATGTGTCCTCATGGAAAAGTTACATATTTCATACTTAGATGTCTCCTAGATCCCAGGTCTCTCCTCCTTGAAATGTAAATTCCTAAGAAGAAGTTTCAGTCTTGCTGGCACCATGGGGACTTAGGAACCGAGATGTAGTCATTTGACTTTCTCCAAGAGGTAAGAGGAGTTTTTTTTAGACTTTCAGGCCAGGGCAATTAACTAGACACAGGGCTTCATATCGAATCTCATGGTATGTGAAGATGTTTCTGTGGGTCAAGGACATTTTATAGGAACACTGAGCAGGAAAGTTTTATTTGCCCACAGACAGATCTTACGGTCAAAAAGTACCACGAAGAAATCTTTAACATCATTCAATAACCTGATTTTAAGTTTTAGTAAAATGATTGATGCTGCCATTTTTTACATAAAAATTATGTTTAAAACAAATAATTATGTTCATATCAATAGATGGTATGATTTTTCAGTGTAAGAAAGCAGAGATACAAGTATACCATCAACAAAGAATAGTAGTAGCAAGGCAATCCTAAATTTGATTGGGAAAAACCAGTATGAAGTCATGACATATTTTCTGCTTAAAAAAACATTTCCTAGTTCTCTCCACTAAAAACACCCAGAAAACAGGACAATCTAGTAGAAATGAGCAAGAATGGGAGTACCTTTGTCCCTCCTAATCACTACACACCCACACGGGTACCCACTCTCCAGATTTCTAACACACAATCGTTCTGCCATGTTTTAAGTTTGTTATCGAGGGGGCAGCACAGTGCAAACTCCTTTGTGCCTGTCTTCTTTAACTCTGCCTTACGTTTGTGAGATGCATGCATGTTGTCGTGTGCATTTTTAGTTTGTTCATTCTCATTGCAGGCATTATTTGACTGTATGAATATACCACAATTAATTTATCCCTTCTACTGTTGATGGACAGTTTCATTGTTTCCAATTTGGGATATAACAAATAGCGCTCCTATTTTTTTATGTCTTCTATTGAACATATGGTACCTTTTGGTTGAACATATGTGTTATACACGTATTTGTTATACATGTGTCACACATATGAACATATGTTCATATAAGGAGGAGAGAGACTGCTGGTGATAGGCATGAATATTTTCAGCTTTAATAAATACTGCCACCCAGCTGGAGTGGCTCAGTTGATTGAGTGTCCTTCTGTGCAGCCAAAGGTTGCTGGTTTGATTCCCAGTCAGGGCACATACCTGGGTTGTGGATTCAAGCATGTACAGAAGGCAACTGATTGATGCCTCTCTCTCTCTCTCTCCCTCTCTCTCTCTCTCTGAATGTCCTCGGTGAGGATAAAAATAATAAATAAATAAATAAATACATAGATAACTGTCATCCAATTAATTAAAACAATCAAGCGTTTATATTACCTTTTCTATAAAAATGGAATTTCAAGTTAATAAAATAGTTTATAAGGGAAAGTTTCTATTCGCAGAAAAACTTCTAATAAATGAGGAGAAAATGATAAGTTAGAAGATGAACATTTTACAAACCCTAATAAAGTCATGAGCCTACGCAAAGATTGTCATAAGGAAATGCTAAAACCATTGGATAGAGGGAAATGGGAAACTTTTACGTGGCTAGATTAGGTCAGCAGCATCTAAACCAATTGATATTAACATATGAAGCTGGGAGAACACAGATATTATGTATGTCCTCATGTGATACAAAGAAGAGTTTCCTTATAAAATATTCTTGCCAAAGATTGAACCTAATGCTAATCAAACCTCTAGATCTAACAACCATTTATTAAAATGCAGGAAAAGAAGAAAGACTTAATGATACTACAAAAAAGTAATCAGCAAATCTATAATGTAAATCTTAAGGAAAATTGAACTCATTCCTCCAAAAAATTAATGTGTTTGTGTTTTTTTTTTAAAAAGGTGGTGTTTACATTTAGGCTTACCACCCAAATACAATGTGTGGATTCATGTAAATCTTACTTTGAATAACTTAAATATTTTTGAGACAATCAGGGAAATTTTAATATAGACTGGGTATTGGAGGATATTGGGAAATTGTTGCTAATATTTTTAGGTGTAAAAAATGGTGTTACGTTAATGTTTAAAAAAGAAAAATGTACATTAAAATATTTACCAGGAAAATGATTTATAGGTATTCTTTAAAATATTTCAGCTTATTAAAGAAGTGGGAGAGGCAGATAAAACAAGACTGGCAAAATACCATTGATTGCTGAGGCAAGCTGCACATTAGTTTTCATTACTATTCTCTATGTATGCTTTAAAATTTCCATGATAAACATGACTTTAAAATTTTTAAAATAAGGTTTCTAGTGATATAAGATAAAATTTGTGCTTCACTGTAAAAGTATGAATTGAGTAGACTCTAAGCATGTCAAACTTGCAGCCTGCGGGCCACATGTGGCCCACAATGAATATTTCTGCAGCCCAGCCAATATAACAGTATGTAAGAAAAGTTTTAATAAAAATTTCGTAACTTAATTTTTACAATATCCTGTTATACATAATTATTAATAACAAACTACAATGTTCGCTAATGACTGATTACTATAATCACGTTGTATGCATTTCCCTTACGTGCCTTGCACACAGGCACACCATTTCTCTCCACTAATACTAGCAGCGAATATTTTAGCAGCCGATTGCCACATCAATAGTCTTGGACTGACTTGTTTGGTGTGCACAACAGGAGATATTTCGCTTTCAGAAAACAAGAAAAATAGGTTTATTTTTGTTACACTTGTGAATTTGTGCAGTTATTCAGTGAGCAAGCAAAATCTGTCCTACCTGGTGGAGTTTCAACTGACCTCCCTCTCTCCCTGCAGCAGTCACTTTTGCCACCATTTGCACATTTATTTCAACATCCTTTATTCCATAGAAATGTGTGCTGTTTTGATTTCTTCTTTGACTCTCTTATGACATCTTTCTGGTTCATTGCTTATAAGTGAAATAAAGTCTTTAACACATGTTCATTTTGAGATCTGTATGTGTCCTAATTTTACCCCCTTTTAAAAGTTATCTCTTAACAATAATAAATAGTATTTACATCTTTCTTGTGAGGCTGAAAGTAAACTAATTGTTGTACCTATAAAGTTATTACCTGCTAATGATTAATTGTTATACAACTTCAGCATAAATTGTAGGTTAGCTGTGCAAATATGAACTAACTTTCCCTCCCATCTATGTTTTTGTTTCTTCATCCCATTAGTTCCAGAAGTACTGGAATCTTTGCAGTAGAGGCCTGGAAGCATTTGCAGTGAGCATGAGAGATCACCAGCATAAAACATGAGCATAGCGACATTGAAAACACTTCAAAACAAAAACTGAGTAACATCTTCTGAAAACTTGTGCCAGGAATTCTAAAAATGATATATATGTAGATTTAAGGTAGATTGTTGAAACACACCAGCATGGTCTTCAGTATTTCACAAAACGTGACGCACTCTTTTCTTCCATGCCACTGACTGCAGACATTGGAATGGCTCACATTTTTGTTACAGATATCCTGCCACCTCCTGTGAATTTAGAGGCCGTCTCTCTTGGCCCTCTGGGCTCTATCTTGGTTTCATTTTCATCCAGTTCAATGGCAATGAACTCAACCAATAAGTAAACATTCTTTTATGTTTATAAGAGTTTCACAAATGCAGACATGATAGATAGCTCACTATCTACATACAGCTCACTACCATAAAACGATACCATAACCGATATTATAGCTATGTCAATGATCTCTCAGTAAACTTTCTGTCCAATTTCAAAAAATCAGATGCCAATTGTTAAGGACAAGTAGAAGAATATGTTGAAAATCAAATTGAAGGAGAAGAAAATATGTTACATGTGATTTATCTTTCTCTGACTGGCTTATTTTGCTTAGCATAGTGCTCTCCATGTCCATCCGTGCAGTTGCGAA